GCGCGTCCGCCGGCGCCGCCGCTCAGCCTCCTCTGGCCGCTCCGGTGGGGGAATTAGGGGCTGGAGGGGCGAGCAGTGGCAATAATCGAATAAGGCATTAGGGGAGATTAAAAGGAAGAAATCCACTGCTAGTTTTGGCATGGAATTAGCAGGGACCCGTTAGGAAATCTGGGAAAGCGCTGGCATCTTGCTGATAGAGATTATGTTAGAAATGGCCCCAGCTTGTATTATGTTTATGGTTCGCGGAGAGATTATTGTGCAGCTTCTGCATCATTAAAACTTCAGGGGGGAAAAAAGTGCGGTTTTCCAATTTGCTGGGTTTTTTGGCCTTTCTCAACAGATTTGCTCATGATCAGTCCTTTAGCACGGCAGAGAGCGCGTGAAAATCTCATGTTTGCTAAACTAATATTGAAACATTCAACTCTCAAAGGCAGTTCAGGCTTTGGGGGAGGGAGAGGTCTTTCATTTTTATTTTTTAATGCTAAGCTGTTTTGGAGCTGGGTTGCATGCACAGATTTCACTCGGACTTTAAACCAGGGCGTTATTAGGACTTGTGTTAGAACTGGAGCTCCTTGCTTGCAGACCACTGGGATTGTATATCGTTGCAGATTTTTTCCTTATAAGTACTGACTAGATCATTACTATCCCATCCTTCGGTAACTGTGTTAATGTAGTCAGCCCTAAAGGAAAATAAGATCAGGCTGCTCCAGCTCTTTCTGTGACCTTATTACTTCTTATAAAGCCAATGAATGATGTAGCACATATGTCATTTAACTACACTGTAAACAAAGCAATTGGGTCAATTTTCTTTCCTCATGGTAATACAGAGAACAGGTTACTAGACCAAAGCAAATTAATTATTTTCATAAGATTTTGTTGCATAAAACACATTTGCATTACCAGCTTCTAAGCAAATATAGTTAATTATCAAGAGATGGAAAGCAGTGTTTGCATGAACCTAGGTGAATCGTGTTTATTGGACAAGAAGACAAGAGGTTTTTTTAGCTAAATAAAGTCTAACTCTGGGGCTAGGTGCTTTTCTCCTCAAACTTTGGCTTCTGGAAGAGCAATTGTAACGCTACAAAACTGAAAGAATATGGGAATGTGATTAGAAATGCGGGATATTCTCCGTCATTGAGTCTGTTCTCTGCTGTCATGTCGTATAATCCACACTGGGCTCTGGCTCTGCCTCTGAACGGTTGTGAACCCAAATTGCTGAGGGGCTTCAGAGCGCTCTGTGAACACGCCGAAGATGAGATCTGTGTGAAGTCTTAGTGATCTGTGTGAATGTCGGCACACAGCTCAGCTCGGGGTTTTATTGCTACCCCGAACCGACTACATGCGAGAGTTTATTCACTAACAGTAGCGTTACCTCCGTGAAAAATCAAGGTTTGTAGGAACTGTTACGTATTCACCAAATCAGAACTGCCTTTCTAGGGGGTTACGTTCTCCCGGCTGCGTGTCCGGATTAAAAGCCCAGCATTTCGAAACTTTATCCCATGTCTTTAATACAGTTGATCTTACTGACATGTTTGAAGCTTTTATGTGCCTCACTCTTCTCAGAACATTAAAACTGCATTTAGCATTTAAGCACCACTAATACCCATTTTTTGCAAATATGCTTCGATTAGTATTAAATATGTAAATACTTTTTTAAGTCTTATTTTTTTTCTGTCTCTGTTGGAACACTTTATTCACTGCTAAGAGATGTATGTACTGTGCCTTACCTTAGGGGTCCTCTTGGAATAATTTCCTTTTCACTTCTGAAAAAAGGGAAAAGTAGCCTTGCCAAAATATTTGCAGGAGCTCCCTAATTTCATTTACAAAAGGTTTAAGAGGACCTAAACTGTTTTAAAATAAACACGTTTTGTACAAACCAGCATCTACAAGAGTTAGTTGCACACATCCAATTTGTCTTATTTTCAAAGGTTTGTTTTAGCAGCTTTTTTAATAAGCGTTCCATGGGTGTTAGAAGCCCAAGGCTACACAGAAGTCCACCAGCTCCTCTCAGTCACTCCTCGTTTCCTTTACTTCCCTTTGCATTGCGGTGGATTAAACAAGAACGTGTTATCTACTAGCCTTGTCATTTACAACTGCCTTTTGTTCACTACCACTCCGTTCCAAATCAGACTCCTATTGTGTAAAAAAAGCCGAAAAGTCTGACTCATTCACTAAGAGCAGACTAGGATTTGAGTCAGAGCGAGGTGGTATTCCCACCCTTCCCCCTAGAAAAAACCCTGCTTTCTCCTTTTTGCACCAGGTTGAACCCGGATATGGTTGGACCTATAGTGCAGCAGCTGTTTTGGGACAACTGTGATTGTCTCCTCCACAATAGGGCATCTATATAGAAGCAAGCGTTAAGAAATTTGGTTTTAGATACATGCCCATCCATGGAAACCTGCTTCACCACTTATTTAGGCTGAAAAATGGATGCTCTGTGGAAAAAACAAAGACACCAACAATAGATGAAATGTTCTAAGAGTTCGCTGTGCTCTTTTTATCCTTCTCTCTTCACTTATGCAAGCTCAGGGGATGATTGGGACAGAGCATACTGGACAAATAAAAAAACAGGCATTTGCCTTCAAATTAAAAAAAGTAAATCATGATATTTTCCCTGAAACAGGATAGTTGTGTTGATTTCCAGTCTAATCTAGAAAGGAGCACTTCAGGAGGAGCACTTACCAATCTTGACTGTCCTGCCAGCTAATGAGAACAATTTATTTTGATGCTAATTTCACTTTTGTTGTTTGCTGTTCTTGATTCCCGATTCTAGCAAAAGGCTCTCTTCTCCTGTCTTCCTCAGTAGCTTTATAGCATGGCAAGCTTCCTAGGTCAAGCAGAGCTGGAATAAAATATTTTTAACACACATCCCCACGCCACCAGC